GCACAGGGACCGCGGTTCAATCCCCAGCACCACATGCCAGCCAGCCCCGCCCCCTGGTGGGCTGAGCTGCCCCCTCCCACGATAAATAAAAAAATAAACTTTAAAAAAAAAAGAGCCGGAAAATTCACATTTATTGAATAACTGATGTGTTACAACCTGGAATTTATGAATTCCAAAATAAATAAATGTTTTGTACATTTGCTTGCCAGGCAAGTGCTTATTCTACTGAGCCATCTCCCTGGCCCCAATTTCTTTAAATTCATTATGGTTCCCACAGTTTTCCTCTTAACTTTTGCAGAACTGGGAATTGAACTCAGGCCTTGCGTTTGCCAGGGAAGTGCTTATTCCACTGAGCCATCTCCCCAACCCCCTTCCTCTTAGCTTTGCTGCTGATATCACTAACTTTGTTTTGAACCATGGTTACAGTATTTTATGCAAATAAAACACAAAAAGAAAAGCACAATGATGAATGTTTTAACACACTCATCCATACTATATGTTGTCTGAGTACTCAGACCAAAGCATTACTCCTTTAGGTCCTTGGCAAGATGTGACTTGTGACTCACTCTTGGCTTATACAGATTTTTCGAGTTGGATTTTCAGTTCTGTATGGAGCAAAGCAGAACACTGAGCAGATTGTTTTCCAACTTTCCTTTTCCAGTAGTAGAAATTTCATGTCTGTCATGGTGCTGCACACCTGTAATCCCAACACTTGGGAGGCTGAGGCAGGAGGATTGCTGCAAGTTCTAGGGCAGCCTGAGCTACATAATGAATTCAAGGTCAACCTGATCTAAATAGTGAGACCCTGCCTTAAAAAAAGAGAATGGGGGGCTGGTGAGATGGCTCAGTGGCCTAAAGCACCTACTTAGAACAAGCTAATCTAAGCAAAGCACAGGGACCGCGGTTCAATCCCCCAGCACCACATGCCAGCCAGCCCTGCTCCCTGGTGGGCTGAGCTGACCACACACACACACTAAATAAATAAATAAATAAATATTTTAAAAAAATGGGTTTGGAGCTGTTGGACAGACCCCCAAGGTATCACTGTACAGTATTGTGGTGAGCTTCCTGGCATTGAACTCCCAAAACCCTACAGTGATGTGTCTTTTTTTAAAAATTTTTTTTCGGAACTGGGGATTGAACTCAGACCCTTGTGCTTGCCAGGGAAGCGCTTATTCTACTGAGCCATCTCCCCAGCCCTTGATGTGTCTTTTTATATGCTGATGAATTGGTTGTTGGTTGGCAGCCTAGGTGGCTTCAGGATGGGGACTCAGGCAACATTAGAGGGTTGAGACTTTCAGCCCTGCACCCTAAACTCTGGAGAGAGGTAGAAGGTTAAGTTGATCGTCAGTAGCCAGTTGATTTAACTAGTTATACCAATGTAAGGAAACCTCCCTAAAACCCCCCAAAATAGGGATCAGAGAGCATTAGACAGATGAATAAGTAGGTTCTTGGAGGTTGCAGGTCCAGTGGGTAGAGGCTTTCAGCCTTTTCTCCTACTCTACCCTATATATCTTTTTTTTTTTCTTTTTTTTTTTTTTGTGGAGCCTGGGATTGAACTATTCTACTGAGCCACCTCCCTGGCCCCTTGTTTTGTTTTTGGTACTGTGAATTGATCTCTTGACCTCCTGCTTGCCAGGCAGGCGCTGAGCTGCTGAGCTATGTCCTTGACCCCTCTGGCTGTTTATTTGTATCCTTTAAAATACCTTTTCTGTAATAGTACAGAGTAAGCACATTTCCTTGAATTCTGTGTGCTATTCCAGCAAATTGAACCCAAGGAAGGGGTTCTGGAAAGCCCAGTTTATAACCACTTTGTCTGATGTCCAGGTAAGCCAGTCTGAGGCTTGCATTAGCATTGGAAGTGGGGCTCAATTTTAGGGACCAAACCCTCAACCTGTGATGTCTGACATTGTCCAGGTAGACAGTAGCAGAATCAGTATTGAAAGATACCAGTGGTGTCCATTGTAGAATGAATTCCTTGCTTGGTATGTAAGGAGGAACTCGTATACATCTGCCATTGGAAGTGTATTATGAGAGTATAGTGGGGCTGGGGATATAGCTTAGTGGAATAGTGCTTGCCTGGTAAGCAGAAAGTCATGAGTTCAAATGAGTTTTTTCCTTGGTACCAGAAAAAAAAAAGTATAGTGAAAAAACTGAGGTATTGGGCTGGGGAGATAGCTTAGTAGAATAAGTGCTTGCCTGGAAAGCACAAGGACGTGAGTTCAATCCCTGGTTCTGCCACAAAAAAAAAAAAAACCAAAAAACCACCTGAGATATTTTGTTTTGTTTCTCATACTCTGGCCTATTGTGATGGTGGCTTTTGTGATGTAGAGATTCTGGTCTCCTAGGAACCCCTTAGGGGCCACCATGATCTGCCTTCTCTTGGGTTAATACCAGTGGGCTGAGCCCAGTGCCCCAACCCCAGAGTCATGCCATCAGGGCAGCAAAGAAGTCCCTGGGATGGATGATCTAGCCCCCTTAGCCATCTCTGTCCTGTTTGAGGAATGGGGCCCTCAAACAGAGAGCTGCCTAGGTGATCAGGCAGGTGTGTGTTCGAGGCAGACTCATTGGAGCCATTGGCCTGGGCTTTGACCTGCCTCTGACTGGGGCATCCAGGAGGTGGACATTTGCCATGGTTTGCCTGGGTGTCCTCCCAGGACAGTTTGACAGAGAGGGTCTTGCAGTGAGCTGAAACTCATCTGGGGCTAAAGATGATTTCACTGCTGTCTTATTGCTTCTTCCACCTCTCTAGAGCTGTTCCTCCAATAATGGTGTTTTCATTTGTCCTAGTGGTTTAGCTCTTGGGTTCTCCATGGCAAGGATAGTGAAGGGGCTGACATTTTACCCTGTCCCTGCCCACCCAGGGTCTACAGGCGATGCCTTTCTTTTCTTTGCTTTTTTTTTTTTTTTTTTTTTTTCAGAACTGGGGATTGAACTCAAGACACTGTGCTTGCCAGGCAAGCGCTTATTCTACTGAGCCATCTCCCCGGCTCCGAGATGCCTTTCTTAATGGAGTTTTGGTATCCTCAGTTTGCAGATCTCCAGGGGAGCCCACTGTTGTGACCAGCATGGCCTCCGAAGACATCACCAAGCTGGCAGAGACCCTGGCCAAAACCCAGGTGGCCGGGGGACAGCTGAGTTTCAAGGGAAAGAGCCTCAAGCTGAACACTGCAGAAGATGGTGAGCTCCTGGACTGGTTGTGCAAGGGAGTAGAGGGAGTGCAATGTATGCCAGCTAATGGTACAGCCACTTTTTTTTTTTTTTTTTTTGGCGGAACCGGGGATTGAACTCAGACCCTTGTGCTTGCCAGGCAAGTGCTTATTCCATCTCTCCAGCCCCGGTACAGCCACTTTGTGCAACCTTGTGTCTAATTATTTGTCTCAGAAGCTCTGGGAGTTTAAATGTCATTGGAACTATTCTTGCTGTGGTTCGATCCCCACAACTCCAGCCAGCCAAACATGCCCTAAGGCATTCTGAGCCAGCCCCCCCCCAAAAAAAAAAATCCTACTATTCTTACAGTGAAGCTTAAATAAGGCCATTTGCCCAAGGCCAGGGCTATAGCTCAGTGGTAGAGCATTTGCCTGCTGGTTGGCAGTGGTCACCCCTTTCCTCCCTGCTCTTTTTTCTCTCAGCACGGGATGGTGGGAAGGGGTCACAAGCTAGTGGCAGCCCCGGGATATAGTTCTTCTCATGCCTGCCTTCACCCTGTGATCCCAGATAAGACTGGGATGTGCTGCCTTCCACAGAGCCCAGGCCCTGGTGGAGTTGCACTAAAACAACTTGGGCCTTGGAAGCGTCTAGGTTCTTGTCCCTGTGACCAGATGCCCCAAGGAGGGGGATGGAGGCTCTTAGGTATGACCTAAGACACGGGCACTGTCTTTCCAGCCCTGGCCAGGGCTTGGGTGGCCCTGGCCAGCCAAGTCCTCTGGTGACTGGAAGTCAAGACACCTGTAGCAGTGTTGGTGAGGCCTCTTGGGTACGGGCCCAACAAGAGAAACTGGTCTGGACTTGCCTGGTTGTCACAGTATGCAGGTTGCCTTAAACACTTCGCCTCCACCCCTGCCGGAGACTGCTTGAGTCCTTGGGTTGCTAGAGTGATCACTTGCATTCCTAGTGCTTCTGTAGGCCCTGAAACAATTCCTCTCATTATCCCCAAAAGGGGTACTAGATGGGAATGTTACATTTTATATATGAGGGAAAGGGACTTAGGAGACTTAAGTCACTTGTCTTAGGCCAGACATTTGGAAAATAATGATGCAGATTTTATCAGAGGTCCAGCTGAATCCTTGTTCCTGTGCTTCTGAGTAGACATTCAGTTTGGTAAACATGGATTTAGTAATAAATGCCATTTACTGAACACTGTGTGGCAGGGAGTTAAGGGTCTTACCTATAGTATTTCAGTTTATCTTTACAAAATTCCTTGAGGGGCAGAGGAGATGGCTCAGCACAAGGGCCTGAGTTCAATCCCTGGTACCACCAAAAAAAATTTTTTTTTTCCTTGAGACAAGCAGATTGCATATTGGGAAACAAAGGCTCAAGGGGAGTGGTAATGACTGACCTAAGTTTCCATCTACAAATGCTAGAGCTGGCATGAGAACTCAGGTTTGGCCTTATAATCTGGCACAGCTGTACCTGCTGTCTCCCATTTTGTGGGAACTACCCCCCTCTTACATATCCAGCTCACAGCCCCACGCTGTAAGGCACTCCTTAATACGGGGCAGTAAGACAGGAGGGCTGTTTCTTTTCACCAAGGGAGCCCTGGAAGTCTCCATGGAGGAGCTGGTATTGTAGTTGTCCTTGAAGGATGATTTGAAGGAAAGAGGACACTGATGGGGAATAGAACCACAGGGGTTGAGACCTGGAGGGTGGGTTGAGGAGGGAGGAAATCTGAACCTCATAGGTGGCCCAGGGCTGAGGAGTCTGGAACCCTAGGAGAGCTTGGAGTGTCCATGGAGCTGGTGATAATACCATTTAAATGCCAAAGAAAAGGGGCTGGAGAGATGGCTCAGTGGTCTAAAGCACCTACCTGAAACAAGCTTGGCAAAGCACAGGGACCGCGGTTCAATCCCCCAGCACCACATGCCAGCCAGCCCCGCCCCCTGGTGGGCTGA